AACAATGAACAGCCAGCGGGGTGTGAGGAGGATGGATAAAGAGCTCTAGGAAATAAGAGAAGCTAAGAATCAACACTTCTAGTCAGACAAGCTCTGGAGAGGGGTGGTGCGCTCAAGCCTGATTTTCAGCCCCTTATAAGATGGAAAACAAAAACGTCCCAACAAATAATCTCAAACCAGCTGATGTTGTGATAATGCAATCCAAAACCGCACAAATCATTATTTCATAAGCAATTAGTGTGGCATGCACTCTGTACAGGATAATTATGCTTTTGGGGGAAAGAGCAAAAGTAGTACAGAGGTTAGCCATGATTCATGCACACCCTCACCGATCTGCCTCCTGAAGTGAAAGCATTATGGAAGGGTTATTGCCATGTTTGTGTAACTGTGCTGAAGTGCAGTGGATTTTGAATGTGCACGTGCATACGTATTACATATATAAACATAATTACACTGTACTGCATAATCTTTTATAATAAAATAAGTTTTATTGATGTAATCCCGTCATCAAAAAACTGCACTTTTAGGCACCAATAGTTAAATAGATAATGGAAAAAGCTGCTTACTGAAAATACTTAGAGTGATAAAGATGGTAAATTGTCCTTTAACTCTATCATATGCAGTTAAACAGTAGGAAAACATGCATTTTTTTATTAGGCTTTCTCTAATCAAATCCCCATCTGTCTCTACGTTCTCTGTTTCACACTGGGTACAAAACAGTGTTATATGATGGAAAGCTGGATATCAAAGCCAAATGCTTTTTTCTGGTACTGACCAAAATGTGTCCTTTGCAGTCAGGTACTGAAGACTACCACATTTCTTTGTATTTGTACTCTTTTAATTTCTTTTTTTAGTTTTTCTTCACTCACTGAATTAAATTATGAGTTTTTCAATTTTAGACTATTGTCTTAGGAACAGGTCATCTACCGTATGGTAGCGAACTAATCAAATCATAAATATCAAAACAATTAACACCACACCCTTCCATTACTGTGTATACATACTAATGAATCAGCAAAATGACAGTGTTGTACTCATCTCATTTCCAGTTACTGAGTGCTGGTGATGTGTTTAATGCCAGTTGTCGTGATTAGTCACCGGCTGAGTCACACTGACTGGCTTTCCAAAAACAAGGGGTTAAAGAGAGAAAAGAAAAATAGATGGAAAAGGGTGACTACAGGGTCAGTGTGACATGGATGATACCAGGAAGTGTGAAAGATTGCATATTCTAAAATGAGAACTCAGGAGAGGAAAAAGGAGAAAGATGTTGATGTGGACAGGGCATTAACGGAGAAACAGAAAGATGGGCAGAGAGGGAAGGAAAGGAGGGCACAGAAAGTGAGAGAGATGGGGTGGGAGAGAGAGTGAGGGTAACGGTGAAAGATGGAGGAAATAACCAAGGTTGAAAGACAGGGAGGAATGAGAGAGACATCAAAAAGTAGAGGCGTAGACGTGCCGGGAGTAAGATGGATGAGATGGAGAGAACGATAAAGAAGCAATGGAAAAAAAAGATGGCTGAAGGTAGAGATCGGAGAAGGATGAGAGACGAAGGAAAGAGAAGTGAGAGTCTGACAGGGTGTTATGAGTATTCTAGGAGGTGAGAGAGAATAAAGCATAAAGATCTGGAAAGCAATGAATTCTGCATACCCCAAGAGCATATTACCACAAAGGCAAAGCAATTACTCAAGCCTGCATTTAAAAACTGTCTTTTTTAATATGAGGTCTGTGTGTGTATATATTAAAGAAGCTGGTAACATATGATCAGTACACTGTGTGCACATAATGTGTTTTGGATGTTATTGTAAAGTAACACAATTTAGCTGTTTGATATATAGAGATTCCTTATGCACAAGGAAAAAAGAGATATCATAATCTTTGACTGATGTAGGTTACACTGTGATTGTCATTGTTGTTTATGGTCCAAATGAATCTGCTACCCTTAAAAATAAAAATACGTTCAGTTGTAAAGAACTAGTGGTAACAGAGAAGATGATACAGTGCCACTCCCGTTTGTACACTACTGGTCAAAGGTTTGGACACACTTTCCCATTAAGTTCAATGGGAAAGTGTGTCCAAACCTTTAATAGATGGTTGTGTACAGCTGTTACATATGAAGGAGACAGTCGGACTCAGCATAAAGCCTGGACACAGAAGAAAGCAGCCAGCCTGACTCTGTCCAAAGTGAAACGACAACCTCTAAAGTTCACTCAATACACTATTATAACTCTTAAAAAAGAAAAAATATACAAAACCCGATGTTCAAAAAAGACCACCTGCTTCAAATGTTAACACCACATTATCAGGTTGTCATTTGGAGAATAGATATGTTTTTCTGGGGCCCTGCTCCTCATCAGCACTTATCAGTGTACCAGATTTACCCATAAAAAAAAAAAAAAAACAAATTGAATGTAGGCACAAAAACTACTTCATTAGTTTCAGGGTTATTATCTTGTACTAAAATGAAACCTAGCATTTAAAACTGTAATGAAACTAATAATGGTTGCTAAAAAAAAAAAAAATTTACCAAAATAAGGAAAGACAAAAAATAAAGGTTGTGTAAGCTTAATTCAAGACAGCCAGTGTTGTACGGAGTTCTGGCTGCCTGCCGACAACCGCATGTTCCAACAGTCTGCTGCCTACAAATTTTAGATGGCGATATCCTGTAGCCCTCCAAGACTTACAACTTAAGCCTTATCGAATGAAGAAAAAAGTTCAATATGTCAGGGAGAACACGGCGATAGATATATGAAACTATTTCAAATTTATGATGATTTCATCCAGATAAAAGCAGCTGTAGGCGTAAATAAAGTGGGCGATGGCGGACCATCACTTTCTGCTGGCACACCGACCTACAAGCTAATGTTTTTTCAGGTAACGGTGCTTGTGGCAAAGAAATCAAAGGGACAAAACAGCAAATGTTAATTCAAAGTTACCACTGAAGGGAACTCACATTATTGATGGAAAAAGATGCAGAAACACTAACAGAGCCTAAGACACAGTTCTGAAACCTTCTGAGGAGAAAACGAGCAGCTCCAACCAGCCCTCCTGCCGGTTATCTGCTCGGCCTGTGCACAGTGCTTCATCCAACGGCTGGAGTCAGTCCGCTTCTCTCATCAGAGTCACTACTGTTCATAAACTCATCATTTTACCTTCTCATACCATCTTGTGTTCATTTGTGCATGACTTTCTCCTCCTCCCTCTGCCCTCCTTCTCTTCATTATGCAGGGATAATGGCTACATAACCACTCTTTTCCCGCAAACCCCGAATTTCATTATTAAATACAGAGTGATGATAACCAGCCAGTAGGACACAGTCTAGTGAGTGATTCTATATTTTTTATTTTGGTCTAGGTGAGATGTATCTCATGCTGAGGTGTTGTTACTTGTGGCTGTCATTCTGATTTATGCCATGAAGAAACTTCTATTTATAGTATACAACAATCCAGTACCACAAGTATTCCTCTACCGTGTCTTAATTACAATGGGGGATAAGTATATTTATTTGTAAATGCTATTTTTTAAAATAATGTAATGATTAGTTTCAAACTTGGCTACAATGAATATAATAAACCCTATGTGTGACTTTTTGTTTCAGGATGGAGTCCACAGAGAAGTGTGAGGTAGTGATACAGCATTTCAATGGAAAATACCTGAAAACCCCGCCAGGCATTCCAGGTGAGTCTCCCCTTTTTTACATTGCACTCACATCACCGCTTTCCTTTCTTTCTTGAAAAATTATCACCTTTGCAATTGGAGACCTCCTTTCTAATTCAGTTAGAGTAATTTTTCATCTCAGATCTGCCGGACAGCTTGATAGATTGTGTACACCGTTGTTTCTGACACCTGACGCTAGCTGTCGAAGCTGTGGCTGAAAAGCTGGCTCGCTCGCTCTCTTTCTCTCTCGCTCCCTGTCACATCCCTCCCTGGTGGTGTTGCTGCTGCTGCAGGCTGGAACTTCTCAGGCAGAAGAAAACCCTCTTAATATTTACGCTCATGCCCCTCTGCTGTCCTTTGCAATCTACTTAAGAGCTTGTACTCTCCCCTGCTCCTGCTCTCTGTTGCTGTGTCCTCTCTTTTTCCTGCCGCCCTTTTCTGCAGTCACCCTAGAGTAGAACAAGCCGGACAAGGAGACACCAGACAGGGAAAGGAGGGTGAAAGAAAGCATGCCTCAAAAGGGAGATGAAATTGTACCTCACTGTGCGCTAGCTCAGAGATTTATCTTTTTGTCAGCATTTGCAGCCGAATCTTTGTCCCAAAAGTTTGAAACAAAGGAAGACTAAGCATAGGAAATGTTGGAAACAGTGCAGGGATAGGGGTGACAAGAGGTGGCAGCAAAAAAAAGCAATGTGAAAGGAGAGTAACAATATGAAAGAGCATCAGAAAGAAAGGCCACGGTGAAATAAGAATGCTGCCTAAGCACTTTCGGGGACCAGGTGCTGCAGCGCTCAAAGCATCCCGTGCATCCCAGCAGGACAGAGCAATACCAATGATATTTTCTTCTCTCCTGTGACAATTTTATTAACAGTACTGACACCTAAAATCAGTGGCACAGAAACAGATCCATAAATCGCTCTCCACTATTCAGTAATACTTAAGAGGGACTGGTTTTAGAATCTCCATGTATGCTCAGCCACTGCATAGCCAGCAGCCATTAAAGGCAAGGTGAGTGGTTATATTGAAGTTGAGCCGTAATCGGAAACCTTTAAAGCTGTAATATCAGACTGACCTTCCCCTTTAAGGATTTGTCTCCTGGCCACTCAGACTTTATTATTGTTAATGGATTATTCAGGCTTGTGCCAGGCATGGAGATTTACTGCCCCGATCGAGGAAATCCTTCGATGGAATTAAGAATAGATAAGTTTACAAGGTCTGCGTCTGGTACTACTATGGTCCCTTCCAAAGGATCCGTGAAATCTCCCGTTTGTCTTGCTGTACACCTGAATATACACACGACTGGCTTTTGCAAAAAGCTGTTGTTCCTTTTGTTGTCATTTGTGATATAGAGTTCCAACAAAAAATTCCTTCAAAGAATAATTATTGTTTATTACAGCATGAGTCCTATTTTTCTAGTTTTTTGCCATCAGTCATTATAACATTGTACTCACAACAATAATTGGAGAGAACTGGGAACCTGGTGAAATGCTACCACAAAGTCAGGTGAAGCAAGAAACACAAGCAGTTGAATTATCAGACAAGTAAACAGTATTTAAACCAGTTTATTAACAGGTAAAGTTTAAAAGTGAGCACAACAAAAATAAATAAATAAAAATCCCAGAATGGTCTGATTACATGTTTCTTATCCCAGCTGACTTCTTTTTAGCAATGTCACCTTGTTTCCAGGTCCCAGACATTAACTTAGCATCGAAAAATATATAAGTAAAAAATATTATTTTCTAACTCTACTTGTACTGGTTTACTTGAGATTTTAAAATGCTGTCCCTTAGTTGTTAGCCCTATTCATGAATACTAATGGATAAAGGCTGTTACTGTCATTCCCTTAATACATTTCCCATGGTAATTCATAGGAGGACGGGGGGCTGAGGAAGTGCACTTTTCCCCCCTCTGACACTGTCCATGTTGCTAAATCTCCGGACATTCCTCAGTTATCAAACTCAGATGGGCCTCTGTGGACCCTGTGCTGTTTCTGTTTCTCACAGAGGCAGTGAAGAGCTCTTTGTGTGTGTGTGTGTGTGTGTATGTGTGTCCTCATCACCACAGTACATTTGTATTTGTTTCTGTGTTCTGATTCATTTATGCATATTCAAATTTACACGTTTAAATTACGGCACGCATGCCGTGTGCTGACAGTCTGTGTCAGTGTGTGTGTGTGTGTGTGTGTGTGTGTGTGTGTGTGTGTGTGTGTGTCATGTTGGTGGTATTTCCCCAGAGCTCCTTGCTATGCAGGGCAGCTTCTTCATCCATCCTGCTTTGACAGCTCCCTCTCCCACACTCCCCTTCCCTTTGCTTTCACCACCACACACAGCACAGCAGGAGGGGTGTGTGTGTGTGTGTGTGCGCGCGCGCCCATGCATGTGTATGCTTTTAGGACAGCCATGACTACTACACTGTGTGATCCTTGACCTACAGAAGCACAAATAGAGTCAACTTTGACCTGAATGGAATGGCAACATCCAAATAATACTAATGAAATTGTTTTTTCCACCACTTAGTGTTTGAAACTTAGCTCACACACATATTACATAGCTGTGGTAGCACATATGTACCCCTACACGTATGTAACAACACTTTTAACATGCATGCATGCACATACACGTTACACACCCTGCTCCATGTACCGAGCTCACTCACCGATCCTCTCAAGCTTATATCTGACAAGACTCTGCATTTCCAGCTCAGCCACTCAATCACACTGTCATGCGGGTGTGTGATTGAGTGTGTGCGTGATGGGGGTTGGTCTTGTCATAGCTGCCCCCCTCTACTCGTGTGTTTCCAGTAGCGGTACAAAAAGGATATTGAGTTGTAACCTTGCTGTCACATAGCAGGAAGTAAATATCTGGGTGTCAGGTGCCAGGTCATCTGTTAAATTCAGCTGACCGTTAGAAAATAAATGGGAAGGAAGTCACCATACTGGCAGGACGTTAATGCTATGTTGCAGATAACGTCAAGAACACAAGGAGCAGGAGCAGAGTAGAGCAGAGGATCGTAGTGATGCTAACAGATGGCAGCTTCCACATGCTTCATGTTTAAATTTTAATGTAATAACATCTAACTTCCTTATAATTACATGAGATACCAAGCTGATATACAGTGTGGGCAATTGATAGCAGATGGCATTAAACAGCTTCTCTATTCTTACTGTTATATTTTTAATAAAATAATATGTAATTTTGTTGTGGTTAGATGTAGATAGAGTGTATGGTTAAATGCACTTTACTGTTAAAGCAGTACTTGTATAGTAGGTGTCAGACATTCCTTATAACCAGTGATGGAAGAAGCACTTGGCTAAAAATTTGTTTACTTAAGCAAAAAATAGAAATACCATGGTGTAAAAATACAAGTAAGAGTCATTTATTCAAAATGTTAAGTAAAAAAAAAACTCAAGGATTAGCATACTTGAAGTAGCAAAAGTAAAAGTGCTCATAATGTAGAATGCCACATTTCATATTAATGTAGGCCTACTGTATATCAGTCACATCACTGGACTGTAATTACTGATGCATTTTTGTGCACATTAATGTTACAGCTGGGAAAGGTGGAGTAATTTTCGCTACCTCATAGTGGAGTAAAAATTACAATATTTTCCTCTAAAATGTCATCAAAGTAATGATACCTCAAAACTGTACTTGAGTACATATGTCAGGGACCAAGCAGTAAGGCAAAAGACACAGCTTCCAAAGTTCAAAATAAAGGGCTTTTTATTAACCCAAAAGTAAGACAAATACAAAATTAACATCAGATAAATTGGGCCCTAAAAGAGGTCAACAAAAGATAAGGAAACTCAAAATACAGCAAACTGAACTGTCTAATACCTCAACAAAACCAACTGACCTAACAAGTGACACATCAGGGAAACATATATACTGGCTGGCCAAACCAATAACACACACAAGGGGTCAACTAAAGACACTACCAAAGCAATCAACTAATAAACACCAAACAGACAGTCTGCTCTCAACTAAATATTTCCTTTAAATATAAAGAAATTAACATAACTTGACAAATAAAGTTCTAACATAAACTACCAACAAATAAACAAATTTCTCCCAAACTCCCCCCTTTCTTGTATTGGGCACTTGGTGCAGTCCAGGCCTAGTGGGAGGTATTTAAACCTGTGTATGTCTAATATAAATTACCCACCCAAGTCCATGGCTGGTGGTGGTTTAGGCCCTCACATGGTGAAGGCCAGGACTGAGGCCTTCACAACATATAATTAGTTACTTTCCACCATTGCTTATAACTCTAACATAAATAATAAATTAATTAAACATGATTGACACTAATATTCTTCAAAAGAATCACAATCACTGGAAAAAGGGCAGCGCTTGCTCGGATCTTGAATGTAATGCTTGTCCGTTTGTTCCAGCAAATTCTACAGAAGCAAACACTTCGACACTTGCATACAGATGCACCTAATCAGCCATCCAGGTCAGGTTTGTTGTGAGGCCTGGTTGATATGAGAGGTGCGTAGCGTTCGTCCAACAAGCAGTCACCGAGGCCTGCTTCAGCCGCTCTGCTCTGCCCACGTCTGATTGTGATTCAGAGAGAGGGACATGATCGATAGCCCTGATGGAGCACTACAGCTGTTTAGCTATTCTGTGCAATGCGGCAGCCGCTCTCCCTGTCGCTGAGTGTGCATGTGCATACACCCACGCACATGCACTGTACAGGCACATGGCTTCATTAGGCTACATGTATGCCAAAGTGCACATAGGTGTGTGTATGTGTTTTGTATATTTTTGCATGCAACCAAAGACACATACTGCACATGTAAAAACCCATATAGATAAATGGACTTACCTGCTCATGTACTGTAGATATGATAATCTCCTTTCTGCGAAATGACCAGCTTTGTAGTTGGAGGTCAGAATTAAGAGCTAACCTTGTTTTTTAGTGGATCTGGATTTACTCAATACACAAAATAAATGGAAATTTATTAAACACGACTACAGCAATAAAGCATCCTGAAGTGAGTCCAACAGGGTTGCATTATGATT